TCGTGACTTTTAATATAAGGACAAAATACGCGTGACCAGAGGGCTGGCTTTTTCGTCGGACAGAAAATAAGCATTGCCATTCAACGTGGCAATGCTGCCAGTCTTCTGGGAACGTTCCCCGAATCCCCACGAATACTTTGACGCCTAAATTAAGGGTATAACTTTTGTTGTATTCTTTTTTTTACTTTCGTTTTATTTAATAGTTTAGTTGTAGTTAATTTTAAGTTGTAAATATTTATGTAGGACAAAATACTCCTTTCTTACAATTTCGCTACAGGCCGACTACCATAATATTTAAATGAATACTTTAACCAAAGATGGACACCAATGACTTAAACATGCAAAACAAACATAACATAACATCACGCCTTTTATCCCCGAAGTTGTAGGCAGAGGTGCACATTATACCACTATACAATGTAACACCCATTTTTTACTATTTATGTTATAAGTCGCATATTATAGGGGGTAATATTGCCATATACCGGTGGCAATTCCAGACTGCCTCGTTGGCCGATTGGTCGCAAGTGCGACTGCCGGGCAAGGAGTCTTGGGTTCGATTCCCGGGCCGGGCAAAGCATTACTGGGTTTTTAAAAATCTCAGTAATAGCACGTAGTCAGGAAATGTGCCCGATATATGGCAATAGGCTCACCCTTTATTACATGGGACTCATAACATAAATAGTGAAAAGTGGGTGTTACATTGTATTGTGGCATTAAGTGCCGTAATGTGCACCTCTGCCTACCCCTTCAGGAATAAAAGGCGAGATGTTATGTTATGTTATGTAATTCCAGACTCCGTGCTACTACTGAGAATTATTTCAAAAAGCCAGTAATACTTTACCCGACCTGGGAATTGAACCCGAGACCACTCGGCCAACGAGGCAGTCCAGCAAGATGTAAGAATAACATGAATCAAAACTGTATCACTCTAATTTTAGAGAGTATCAAAAATCTTTGACTGTCTCAAATCCTAAGAAAAAGTGTGAGGGATCGAACACTTTTTTCAATGGCACACACACAGTTGCAACGTTGTTCATGCTGTTGTGTGTGTGAGTATAAACATTGGTTTGGGTGTGGTGCCAGTGTTGGTATAATAGGAGCGATTGTATAAGCGTAGCGAGTTAAGTTTTAAAATAAGTTTTTGATTAATATTGTTTCATAATTAGGTACTACTGCGGTGTCCGTATACAATTCTACAGTTGATAATTCTTAACAATATTATAGTTATTAAAAACACGTTTGGATAATTAAGTAGGTACACACCACTGTAATCTAATCTTAATTAGTGTAATATTTTCTGATTATACACGATAAAATTCAGTCATCATAACATAACATGATATAACATCATGTCTTTTATCCCCGAAGGGGTAGGCAGAGGTGCACACAGAAATAACACCCACTTTTCGCTATTTATGCTGTGAGTCCCATGTAATAGGGGGTGAGCCTATTGATATAATATACCAGGCACAATTCCAGACTCCGTGCTACTACTGAGTTTTTTTTAAACCCAGTAATACTTTGCCCGACCCAGGAATCGAACCCGAAACGCCTTGCCCAGCAGTCGCACTTGCGACCACACGGCCAACGAGGCAGTCAGTCAATTCAGTCAACATAATTGTTTTACATTTTTTCACCCGCTCCCAACCCCGCTATCACTCTACCCCGACCCTACGTACACGCGGCTTGGACCAACTAATTTCACACTGATTTCGACAAGTGTACTCTCGACAAAAAACCTCCCATTCACTATCCGATGTGACCGGCAGACGTGGCCCGACAGTGAAATTTCAATGAATGAGTTGAAATTTCATCTTGGAAGCTTTAAGTAGAGATTTTTGAGTTTCGAGTCTGGTTGTAACGTAATCGTGAGGAAGCTAAGGACGGGAATTGGGATGATAACAGGGTATGAAAATTAAAAATACTGCGACATTTCAAAGCAATTTATCGTCGGAAGTATTCGTTTCTGTAATTAATAAATACGTGTGTAATGATTTTAAATAATCTACCAGACGGACATTTAAATAAAAATTAGCCATCTACCCTATTAACTCGTCGAGTACCGTCATTATAGACACAATTATAGAATAATAGGTTGCGGTCACCGGTGACCGCTCGGTGTTTGACAGTTTAAATCTGATTCTTGAGATGAGCTAAGTATAATTACAGTTACTTGATCTTATTGTTTGTGTAAAATGTTGGTAGTAATGTATTTAACATTTTCGATTTCAACATAAGAATTAGTGGTCATGGTATATGGCCTTTAAACTGTCAAACACCGCGAGGACACCGGTGACCGCAACCTATTGTTCTATAACTGTGTCTATAATGACCGACGGTATTTATTTATTGCAAAATGTATATACATAGTGGTATTATACTACTAGTACAGTACATCACCCTGTTAGGGCGCAGCAATTTAAGTTATAAATAATAACTAAATAATCATATAACATATACATTTTTATCACTTATACCTCTATACCTATATGATACTCAACGAGGAACGGTACTCAACGAGTTAAAGGTTTTCTGAATTAAAATCGGTTTTAAAACATAACATACCATAACATCACACTGTTTATCCCACTTGGTGTACATTACGCCACTGTACAATGTAACACCCACTTTTCACTATTTATGTTATGAGTTCTATGTAACAAGGGGTGAGCCTATTGCCTATACCGGGCACAATTCCAGACTCCGTGCTACTACTGAGAATTAAAAAAAAACCAGTAATACTTTGCCCGACCCGGGAATCAAACCCTAGAGCCTTGCTTGGCAGTCGTGCTAAATGACAAGTGCTCAATTGAAGCATGCTTTCGTGGTTAAAATTTTCATATGTACCTTTATAACAAATATTTTTTCTAAAAACTATGTTCAAAAATAAAATTGGATAATTTATCCAAATAGATAGCTAGATATATAAGTAGTAGACTGCCCACTACCCAGTCATTCACGCCATATTAAAATTAATTCAGAAACAGCGTGAAGATATTCTGTTATTTATTATTTCACTGACGAATTACGGGTTCGAATCCCGCCGATATTTCACGGTTACAGCTTAGTATATTTATTTATTTTGAGAAAGTAATTTACTGAAACGTTTGTGTGAAAGGTATTGAGTGTTGTATTAATAATTTTTATTTCAGATTTCTAAATACTTATGTTGTAATTTCGTTGATAGAGAGGTGTTTTTTTTAAGGGGGTAATCATCGAATGACTGCTCCCGCCTGGGTGAGGCGGGAGGGAGTGTCAGACTCTTACTGACTAAAAACCACCCCGTTCCTTTTCCTGCACGTCGAGCCGGAGCCCCGGTAACCCATTAGGTTCTCCGCGACTCCGAATCGGCATCGGCCCTATTGGGCCCCAATATATATAACTAGCGACCCGTCGCGGCTTCGCACGGGTGCAATATGCATGTATTATACATATAAACCTTCCTTAAGAATCACTCTATCTATTAAATAAAACGCATCAAAATCCGTTGCGTAGTTTTGAAAGATCTAAGCATACCTACAAAGGGACAGACAGACGGCGGATAGCGACTTTGTTTTAAGCTAAGTAGTTATAATAAAAATAAATTGTATAATTTGAAACAACATTATTATGAATTAGGTGCTCTAACATTTAATGCCACTGTACAATGTAACACCCACTTTTCACTAAATATGTTATGAGTCCCATGTAATAGGGGGTGAGCCTATTGCCATATACCGGACATAATCCCAGACTCCTTGCTACTACTGAGATTTTTTTTAAAACCTTGTAATACTTGCCCGACCCTGGAATCAAACCTGAGACTCCTCGCCTGGCAGGCACAATTGCGACCATATATTATTATACCATCTTATACCTATTATTTTGAATAAAAATCATGAAGTAAATAATCAGCTCATCAAATCGGTTAAAAGTCTGTAAACTCTCTATTACGTCGTGACAGGTGATAAGGTCTAGACTTTTTTATAGTCTAGACTTGTTACAGCTAAAAAAGTTAGACTGAATTGAAGATTGGCGACGAATTTTTAAATCGATCTGAATCCATTACAAACTGTTTGTTAACACTATTTTTAACTAACCATTTGTTTGAAATGGGGCTGGGGAGATTGGAAAGAGGGTCATTGATGACTGATATTATAATTGAGTACTTGCAAATTAGTCAAATTCAATACTTTTTTCGAACTGTCAAAAATGACAGCTTTCTATGAATTTTGTACGAGATTGTGTATTGTGACGTCACGATTTTCAGTGTCAAACAGCATACTTATTTAGTAAAAAATTGTTGGAAATATACTAAAATTAAGTTGGTCATAAAATCAATAAATGAAAGTGTGATTATTTTTTAATATTTTATTGTATTGAACAGCCGAAATAATTTCTTTTTGATTAAGGAAAGTACCTACTCAATTGTTACACTTTTTTATTTCAATAATTATCAATTTCATTTTGACTTTAATTATTTAATTTTTTATTTTAATTGTTTTATTTTGTTCAACTTCAATATGTTTTTTTTTAAGGGGGGAAAATCATCGAATGACTGCTCCCGCCTGGGTGAGGCGGGAGGGAGTGTCAGACTCTTACTGACTAAAAACCACCCCGTTCCTTCTCCTGCACGTCGAGTCGAAGCCCCGGTTACCCGTTAGGTTCTCCGCGACTCCGAAACTTCAATATGTTAGGTTTTATTTAATTGGATATTGGATGATAAAGATATTTTTTATTAAAAAAAGGTTTATTTTAACATATGTTGCTGTTCGCTTACAGGACCCATAAATGTCCCTAGTTTTAAGCCTATTGTAACAATTTATTCACTTTATGGTACTCAAATAAATGAATATTAATATAAATTGGGCCTACTGGTCTTAACAAGATTTTAAAAGATCACAATAAAATTTAGCTTACAGTTAGATCACATCATAATTTTCAACATAGTACCTATAAATTGCAAATGAAAAACGTAAGCAAAGCCACAGCATAAAGGTATAATTGTAAAGACTCACCGTCTCCGCTCTGGTTGCTGCTGTGCGCGTGGTACTGCTCATCTGTGAAGTCGTACTCTACGTTAGATTAGACACATCTGCTCTCGACAATTATTTATTGAGGGGATATATTTGAAAAATAATGTCTCATAATGTAATCGAATCGAAGTGCCATATTCGTAATATTACATTATGGGGATACTCAGCATGATGGTTATATATGGGCCCCGGTTGAGCTTGAAACAAGTTGAGCATCCTCGTTAGATTATGAAATGAATGATGAGCTAGCTACATCTTAAGTGAAAATAGCAGTGAATTCCAAATAGATGTTCAAACTATTTCTAAACGGTTTATTTAGTTTGCTCTGATTTTTATGTTTCAGTTGATATACAACTATCAATAACAAATATAATAATAAACAAATAATGTTAAATGTACCAAAAAACAATGTTGATCAAACCCAACCTCAAAAGCATTTATTTTATAAACCATGGTTCGGTACTTTTGAAACATCAACAAATACAAAATGAATAGTCTGTCAATCTGTGCGAAAGTGAAGCTAGGTGCTCGTTCCAAAATGTAGATTCGAGTGGAGGAGAACGAGCAAGAAACCCCATTCGTTACACTTTTAAAAAAGTATGTTTTACAATCTCTCCTTGTGGGATTTGAATCCACGATACGTTGCTCAGTGGCCACAGCTACAAAGCTGTAACCAGATACTTAACAGTAATAATATATCTATTAAATTTAACATAATAAGTAAAAAAAATTGATTGTTTACCATAGCTCTGCTCACCTCCGTTCCTGTGGTCGCTGCTCATCAACTCCTGGCTTTGCAAAGTTGGTGCATGGATCAGCACCTTCTGCTGAGGACTGTGAGGATCCAAGCCCTCAACCTCCAACAACGGAGCATGGGGTTCATAGGAATGGACAACCAACTGAGGAGCGTGGAGATCCATTCTTAACACATCACTTTCAAAGTCCAATTTTGCTTGAACACTTTTTAGCACTCTTTTGTCCGATAAGTTCCTGATGATGTGGCACTTATGTCGTTGCTCTTTAAGTTCGATGTAGCCTCTGTTTACTGAAAATTTTCACTATTGTTTGGCACTGAATTTGCGACTAAAATCTAGATTTTAGGAGAATTATTTTGGAGTATTTTGTTTGTTATTTGTTTGTTCACTATTGTCACATTTTAACTAAGACCTGAGTTGTTAGTCTCACTGGATTTTTTTTTCGGATTTTCTGTCGATGCATCATTTTTGGATCTGTGGACAAAGAAAAAAGTGGTTAGTCAAAATTAAAAATAGCAGTTGGAAGTCACCATCACCATGCCGTCATAGATAATTGATTGGATGCCCTTAAAGTCTACTGCTGGACTCCTTTACAATGGATCTCCTTTATAAAGATAACTGGCAATGACTTCTCTGTGACATGCCACCACAAAATAATGGAACAACTCTGCTTCCAGGATTTAAATTACTAACCTTATATTGTTCCATTATAGCAGTAAGGGGGCGAAATTAAAAGTACCCTTAACCGACGAGCATGCATGAAAAGACTGATGACTGTTGATTAAGCGAATGAGGTATGAAAGTATTATAGGAATTGGCGTTCCGTAGTCTCTGCCTGCTCCCATGGGAGGCGTGAGTCTATGTCATGTGTGTATATTGTATAGGAGTCAGCTTAACACGTGTATTAAAAAATAAAAAAAAAATTTGCCCATACACATTTTTTTATATACCTACGCCAACTGTTGCTATTTTATAACGAGCCATTTAACTATATCAGTGCAGATACTAGATATATATTAAAATATTTATAACAATAATGTCGTGGTGGCCCGGAGGTTTAAGACGCCCACTTCTCATGCATGAGGGTGCGGGGTCGAAACCTACCAACGGCAAGTACCAATGTGACTTTTTCCGAGTTATATGTACTTTCTAAGATTATTTAGACACCACTGACAAACGGTGAAGGAAAAACATCGTGAGGAAACCTGAACTTATAATTTCTAATTATAAGTTTGAAATCGCCAACCCGCATTGAGCAAGCGTGGTGATTAATGCTCTAACCTTCTCCGTGTGAGAAGAGGCTTTGCTCAGCAGTGGGCATTTATAGGCTGTTGATGTATGTATGTATTTATAACAAAAAATATCCAATGGAAATTACAAACGATTTTGATACACGTTATATATGTACTTATAAACAAAAAAAATGATACTATTCATACAAAAACCAGAATGAAATTCGCAAAACTACCGATTAGCACACACGTATAAATCATTTTGTTTCCGTTTTGCAAATAAAATGTGTATCTATGTATTATTTAAACCGACTAGCTTCGTGCGCCATGTCCACTATTGTTCTGTGGAGCACGTGATGTTAAAAATGAGGTAGATGCGGTATTTATATATTTATTTATCATTTCATATACCTACACCACACAGACAATATTACAAAGGACAACACATTACAAGCATGAGGTACATAGGTACTGCATATCCCTTAAGGGATTTCTTCCTGCAGACCTGCGGTAATGTTAATTTGAACACATAATATTTTATCCTTTTATCCCTGAAAGCAGAGGTGCACGTTACGACACTTAATCTAATGTAACACCCCTTCATTCCCTATTTATGTTATGAGTCTCATGTAATAGGAGTGAGCGTATTGCCATTTACCGGGCATAGCTTCAGACTCGGTGCTATTATTGAAAAAAAAATTAAAACCTATTAATACTTTGCCCGGCCCGGGAAATGGAACCCAAGGTCCTTTGCGGTAGTCGCTCTTGCGACCACTCGGCCAACGAGGTAGTAATGTAAAAAAATGATTGTTTTGTTTTATGTGGGAAATCAATTTTGTCAGAAGTTTTATTGAAATACTTATTCAAAAATGTCTTACAGATAGGCTAGATTTTTTTCCTTTTGTAGTGCGCACAAAAGGACAAATTATGGATCACACAAAAAGTTGTTCCGTGCGGAAATCGAACCCGCTAGACGTTGCGCAGCAGCCGGTTGCCGAGGTATCATTACACTTACCTCATCCATAAAAACATCCTTCATACATCAACATCCAAAATGGCGGCAGAACGTTTCTCATTGCGCTCCTACAGTACTACAGGATACCTTTTGTTGTAGCTCCTAATATTTTCACCGCGTTTGTTTCAAATTTTAATATTCAAATGTTAAATTTCTTGTAACATTTGCTTACATTTCTATTTTAGTTTCCGCATTCTTGGTGTCTTTGGCGTACCTCTGTTGCTAATATTGCACAGCGAATGTACACACCGTTAACAAACTAATGTTGTGAATAGATGTTTGTCAAGATTAAACTGTCAAACACCAAGCGGTCCCCGGTGACCGCAACCTATTGTTCTTTAATTGTGTCTATAATGACGGTACTCGACGAGTTAATAAAGCCAAGGTTTATTACTACGAATTTTGAACAATAAGGCAAAGTTTGAACTGTTTGTCAGAATACATGGTGATACTATAATCTAATTTGAGAAAGGAAGATTATTTAGACAATTTACGTAAAAAATTGTTTCCTAATTGCTATGTATACGCAACAAGGTCGCTACGCAAATGCTACGCGATCGCTACGCACTGCTACGCTATCGCTACGCAAAAGCTACGAAATTGCTACAGAAAAGTTACTATTAAATTAAATAGTTAATTTCTTTAATCAAAACGCTTGAACAACAAAACGAATGCCAAATATATTACGACCTATAAGTAACCAAATTGCCAAACTATTTTCAACCTTAAAAACAAAAACACAAACATTTAACCTCTTAACAAAAACACATAAAAAACTTGATCCCTAAATTAACGTGTAGGGGTCATAAGTATAAAACCAGTTGCTCAATTTAGGTACCAAAACTCAGGTCCCAAAGCGAACAGGTTTTAAACTTTAGGTGCGTATAAGGATACCTTATTTTGGTACGATCGTGTGAAGTTATGGCTGAGTCATATGCATGGTCCTTTGTTCATTACATTTTCTAAGAAAACTATTTGTTTAGCTCGTTTATCTTTGAAGTATTCTGATATATTAAAATATGGCTATAACAACGCCCTTATCACATGGGATACAGGGATAGCTTGTGTTTTTCAAACGTTACCCTACTATATTATTTTCTCCTGTGCCGTGGATGCGGTTATAACATACAATATCACATACACATGACACCCAGACCAGGAACAAGAATTTGTGGATAACAAAATAAGTCACTCTATTCGGAAATCGAACCCGCTACACGTTGCGGGACCGATTGTCTAGCCTGAGCGAGCATTCTTTTCAAAACTGTAAAGAATGGAGTGTACTCCTTTTTAACTCGTTGAGTGACCGCGCGGTGTTTGACAGTTTAAAAGCCCAGCAACGCATTTATAACTTCTATAGTGTTTCATTTCATAGTCATCAAAGCAAAGGAGTCTAATCTATATAAATAAAAATTAATGTCTCTTCCTTAGGCTCGCTTAAATTCGAGAATGGCTCCCAGAAAACCGATGTGAAACAACGATTGTGTTTTGCTTAGTGAGTGAGGCCGGTAACGCACTTGTAACGCCTTGGTGTTTCAGGTATCTATGAGCGGCGCCGATTGCTTACCATCAGGTGTTCTGCCTGCTCGTTTACCGGCTTATAACAAAAAAAAATCTTTTTCAAATCTTGTCTTTCATACTATCAACCATAAAGTTATTTTTTTTTGCCCTAATTATGTATCAGATCTATACAATTAAAGTAATAAATAATATCTGCCTACCGATCCCCAACATGTTTAAACTTGAAGCTACATGAAGGTAGCGTCTATCCGGCTGTTCACAAAAAGGCGATGCGCGCGCGCAAGGCTATGGGAAATTATTTGACAATACAATACCCTCTGGTACACATGATCGTTAGTTGTTGGGGATATTTCTGAAGATAGTATTTTGTTTTTATTTTTTATTTAAAATATATTATTTTCTTGTAAAAGGAATATAGTATAGCTACCTGTATTTTAAGTTTTATGTATTTTTACTTCGATTATTGGAAAGCAACGCGATTAGTGCTTTTAGTAGTTTTTTTTTACCCAATCTATTTGTCATTAACGTCATGCTCATTACGTCAGAACTACCCGTAAGAGGAGGTATGCCATAATTTAACGCTTCGCAAACATTTTTGTGATTACAGTTACTAAATATTTCAAAGAAGTTCGTAATACAATGCGTCGTGGTGTATCCCACCGTAAAAACAATAAGGTTAAGAAAGACAAAGAGAGCTCAGATCTGGGGGCTTACTCTTGAATCCCATTCCGATCGATCGACATTGACATTGTGAAATTTCGTACTCTTGAGTTGTAACACTAGCGCCTTTTGCATCCGTATTGCGTGGATATTTCAAGAACTAAATGGTATTGAGTTTGGTTTTATATTCCGTACTCTAAATGCTACTTTAGCAGCTACGATAGGAGTTGTATAGTTTTGACATTGGATAATTATTGAGATTTTATTGGATTGAAATTGCATTGACATTGAGATTGGTTTCAAGAGTAAGCACCCTGGTGACTTTAAACTCATTTATTTTTCATATTGCCAAAATTCGCTATGGATTGCTAAATCGATACATAGTACCCACGTAATATGTATAAGTAAAACAAGCAAACCATATTATTTTTCATTCAAAAAATACTCCTAAATATCTTCAGATCAGTCTATACAAAACAGTATGGTGTGTAGCGCACCTTCCCACAATTTATTCACACGTATCCGACGATACTTATCTCATGTACAAAGTTATTTATTTGCTTATGTTTTACCTAATGAATCATTTGATGACGTCAATACACTGAAGATTTTATATTCGGAATTTTATTTTTGATTATTATTTGAATTGTATATTTTACTATATCGCTTCCAATCGACCGATTTAGAAGTCAAATAGAAGTAAGTAGAAGTACCAGGTCTGTGAGAGTCAGTGGACTTTTTTTTCAGGGCGGAAAATCATTCAATGGCTTCTTCTGCCTTGGATGTGACGAGAGGGAGTGTCCGACTCGTACTGACTAAAAATAAATAAACCGCGTTCCTACTCCTGCTTTTTGAGTCGGAGCGTGTTAAGTCCTCTGCTGTCTGCTCCGATGGCTCCGCATTGGGCATCAGCCCTACTGGACTCTATCTGTGTCTGATGACTCTTTAAAGTGCGTGCGGAACGCGACCCGCCATACGCACGGGTCTGATACTGGGCGGACGGCGAGTTACCGGTGCTCGCCGTCCGCAGGCCCGTGCTTGCGGTG